AAAGAGCCTTCCCGAGGAATTGGAGGTGATTTTTTAGATACTTATTTTCACAGTTTATATGTACTGTTAGTGTGAAACTATTTTCAATAAATGTTACAATAGTGAGGCAAGTATCTTCCTGTAGCCACAAAGAAAAATGGAAATAGCACGTACTTGTACAGACTGTGCTTACTAATGGACACTGAATGCACTTGTGCGATCTGAGCACGGCTAACTACTGCATTGAATGTGGGCACAAAACACCAGCATTTAGCATGAGAGAGAAGGTGTTATTAGCAACACGGGACACAGCAAGTCAAGTGATATATAGCGTAAGAGTGAGACAATAATATGAAACCAAGTGTGTATATATATGAGCACTAAGTTACTGCAACCATTCATTAAATAGAGAGAGCCAGGATTACTAACTTGTACCGAAACTGTACCAAAAAGCAAAACCCACCCACAGTCGGCTACTTACTCCCTACAAATTTCAGATCCTTTATCTACCAAGTTTCAGAGTAGCAGCCGTGTTAGTCTGTATCCGCAAAAAAAACAGGAGTACTTGTGGCAACTTAGAGACTAACAAATTTATTTGAGCATAAGCTTTCGTAGGCTACAGCCCAGTTCTTCGGATGCATTGAATGGAACATAATATTGAGGCGATATATATACACATACAGAGACAGGTGGGAGGTGTCTTACCAACTCTGAGAGGCCAATTAAGTAAGAGAAAAAAAACTTTTTTTGTTTCAGAGTTGGTAAGACAACTCCCACCTGTCTCTGTATGTGTATATATATCGCCTCAATATTATGTTCCATTCAATGCATCCGAAGAACTGGGCTGTAGCCTACGAAAGCTTATGCTCAAATAAATTTGTTAGTCTCTAAGTTGCCACAAGTACTCCTGTTTTTTTTATCTACCAAGTAACTGGAAAATCTACAATGGATTGGAAAACAAAAATTGTGGAACAATGGAGACGAACTGATGGGCACAACTGCTGACCACTCATGCTAAAGACATTCAATACCGAATTTCCATTATTACTTGTTAATGATGTGTAATTATGATGCGTTTTCTAAATAGAAGTGTTATTAGTTTGCAGAAACGTATTTACAGCATAAAGATATCAGCACTGTAGAAACCACACAAGAGGCTCTGACTATGTTTAGAAGAAAAATAGCAATTCGAAGGAGTCAGGTTTTGTTACATATACTTAGTGAGCCCATAGTACATGGGAAGATAACAGGAAAAGTGGAATTATGTCACATAACAAACAGTTACCATAATACACCTACAGTGGGGTATGACACAAGTTTGGTTCTCTAATGGTGACTCTGTATGAATAATTTCTTTAAGTACTGAAAAATGTGGAGGGGTTGAATGGTTGCTATTGTCAGAGCAGTGAAATGTAATGGGATATCATTTTATCCACAGCAGGAAAGTAAAAGTTTGAGAAACATAGAGTGGAGTTCCAAATAGAATTTAAATGATAACCCTCACCCCCCAAAATATTTGCAAACCAGTTAATTAATTGAAATAATTGACATTAATGAAAACAATCAAGATTTCTATTTAGAGTTTTGATCATGATGTAATCATCTGAGTGCATTGTATTGATTTTTCAGAGAGCGTGGAGGACTGCCGCATATACTGCAACTTTGTCACTTGCAGAAAAGAAAATGAAGATTGCATGATGGTAAGAAACACGAAATTGTATGCAAAACACACACCATATGTTGGAGCAGATAACTAAGCAGAATATGATTGTAGTACAAGAACAAAAGTCATGGCCCAATATCTAGGCAGCTACATATAGACCCAATGTAAAAACCTGCCTGAGGATCAGGATTCTTGTAATAATTCCACAGTAGTAAACATTTTCACCACTGCTGATAGTCATATCTTGAGTAATAATTAAATGTTGAAGGAATTTAATTTGCCCCTGAGCCCTGGGGGCTCCCAGCCACCTCTGCAGCTGGGAGCCCCGGGTTGATTTAAAGGCCCTGGGGCTCCCAGCACAACCGGTGCCCCAGGGCCTTTAAAATCTTGAAAGGCCCCGCCTCTTCCAGTTGAGACCACGCCCCCACCCAGGACTCCAGTGTACCGGTAAATCCTGTAAGTTACTTTCACCCCTGGGCCCTACGCAGTATTATTAAACTGGTGCCCCTATGCCCAATGGCAGCCCGGGCTCGCAGCCCCGGGGGATGGGGGGGGAGGGAGGGACGAGGCAGCAAAGGATAGCGAGACACACGGCCCGGCTCACGGTGGTGGAGAGTCACAGTTCCCCGCAGAGACCCCTGTACCTCTCCTTCATGCAGAATGGACATGCAGAAGGTACCTAATTAAAAGCACTAAACTTGGGAATAAAAAATGTCAGTCACAGGGTTTTTGATATACTCTGAAGTTTGTCAGACTTTTATTTGCAAAAACTTTGTAGTAAGGGTGAGTTAGCGGTCTTGCTGAATACAACATTAAATATTATAGAATACATGATGCAGCTCTTCTGTTTTTCATTTTCTCAATCACTACATGCATCTGACGAAGTGAGTATTCACCCACCAAAGCTTATGCTCCAATACGTCTGTTAGTCTATAAGGTGCCACAGGACTCTTTGTCGCTTTTTACAGATCCAGACTAACACGCTACCCCTCTGATATTTTCTCAATCAGTATTTCTAAGCTGATTTTATATTTTAAATGTGCTCTTAAACCTTCAGAAAGTCATCATTCCAGATTACTGCATATTTAACTCACTGAAACAAAGACGTTATTTTAAATTAATCAGTCACAGAGGTTTAGTGTGTTCATAATAATGTTCATTGCTTTTAGAAAAAGGGAACACTAATTCACTGTGTGTGAGCTCCATAACAATGCACATGTTTATGAAATTTCACCAACTTTAAAAAATATGTTTCCAAAGATGTTAGGCATAACAAAGGATTTTATATCTTACTAAGGTACTGATTTTGCTGGGGGGTTCTCTTAAAACTAGTTCATCAGATAGTCAGAAGTAAAGAAAGGGAAACTCTTTATCCAGCTATCTGAAAGCAAAGGGGTGTTGTCCCTTTAAGGGCTCTCTTCAATGGGGGTGTGGGGGGAGAGGGGGTGAAAGGAGAAAGGGATGGACAGAAAGGACCGGATGACTGTGGAAGCAAGTTTTTTGTACTATAGTAATTAAAATTAAAATGTGTATTTTAGATAAGGGGGGTCTTTTGAAGGATTTATTTAAAAAAACTATGTCTGAAGAGCCAAGCATTTAAGGCTAAAGATGATTGTGCATCTAAAAATCTATGCAAGGATTTTTTAGAGATGTGATTTTATAATCTTCACTAACACACTAATGAAATATTTTTAAAGCAAATTTTAAACTAAGGTCCTATAGACTGATATGTCCTGAGTAAATATGACAGTCGTGCACAACTGCTGTGTCAGAAAATTCAGAAACTGACAGTGTATACCTGGGGGTTGGCAAATGCCTGTTAAAGAGCCATTCAAGTGGTAATGAAGCCATTTAACAGTTCCAGTGTTGTGCTAATAGGTCTGGCAGGCTGGAGGCTTTTTCACTTTTAACTACGAGATCCCCTCCGGAGGAAGACTCCCCAGGCTGCAGCAGCCAGCTGTGGTGGGAGCCTGCAGGAAGGGTCAGAACAGGGATAGAACAGGGGTCGGCAACCTTTCAGAAGTGCTGTGCCGAGTCTTCACTTATTCACTCTAATTTAAGGTTTCGCGTGCCAGTCATACATTTCAACGTTTTTAGAAGGTCTCTTTCTATAAGTCTATAATGTAGAACTAAACTATTGTTGTATGTAAAGTAAATAAGGTTTTTAAAATGTTTAAGAAACTTCATTTAAAATTAAATTAAAATGCAGAGCCCCCTGGACCGGTGGCCAGGACCCGGGCAGTGTGAGTGCCAGTGAAAATCAGCTCGCGTGCCGCCTTTGGCACGCATGCCATAGGTTGCCTACTCTTGGTGATAGGAAGAGCCAAGGGGGTGGACATTAAGACCCAGGGGTGCCCCAAGTTTTCAGATGCCCTATGCAGCCACATATTTTGCATACCTAAGGACAGTTCTCTGAGATAGGTTTCAGAGTAGCAGCCGTGTTAGTCTGTATCCGCAAAAAGGACAGGAGTACTTGTGGCACCTTA